CGTCAGTTGTATCTTCTGATTTTTTTCTGTAGGGATAACGTTTCTATTAACAATATCTTTCAGGACCCTTTCCTCCGTTTTATGAGCTGTGGAAAAGAAGTTCCTGTAAAATAGTCTAATAGGGGGTATAGGTGTTGTGTTAGTTGTCTCTTCAGAGGTTGCATGGCGTTTCACCTTCCTTCTTATGATGTCTTCAACGAAACCATTGGAGAAGCCGTTGTTGACTAGGACCTGCCTTACCCTACAGAGTTCTTCGTCGACTTGCTTCCATTCTGAGCTGTGGCTGAGAGCACGGTCGACATAAGCGTTAACAACACTCCTCTTGTACCTGTCTGGGCAGTCACTGTTGGCATTGAGGCACATTCCTATGTTTGTTTCCTTAGTGTAGACTGCAGTGTGGAAACCTCCGCTCCTTTCCATGACTGTTACATCTAGAAAGGGCAGCTTCCCATCCTTGCCCATCTCGTAAGTGAAACGCAAAACAATTCTGCTCAAATGCCTCCTTCAGCTCCTGCAGATGTCTGACATCAGGTACCTGTGTAAAAATGTCGTCAACATACCTTCAGTATATGGCCGGTTTCAAGTTCATGTCGACTAAGACTTTTTGCTCGATGGTACCCATGTAGAAGTTCGCAAACAGGACACCTAGGGGAGAACCCATGGCGACCCCATCTACTTCCTTATACATGTGCCCATCCGGGCTCAAGAAGGGTGCCTCTTTAGTACAAGCTTGGAGTAGTTTCCTTAGAATGTTTTCTGGTATGTCAAGAGGAGTACAGGCTGGATCACAATACACTCTGTCCGCTATCATCCCGATTGTTTCATCCACAGGTACGTTGGTCAACAGTGATTCTACGTCCAACGAGGCTCTTATCCCTGTGGCCCGTGTTCCCCGCAGTAAGTCAACAAATTCCTTGGAGACTTCAGGCTGAAGGCACAAGGGACATAAGGAGTCAGCAAGCCATTGAGTCGTTTCGCCAGTCTGTACGTGGGTGTGGGTATCTGGCTGATGATTGGCCGAAGTGGGTTTCCAGGCTTATGTGTCTTGACAATTCCATACACGTATCCAGGTTTATATTCCCAATAATCTTTGGCAGGTGGAGTCCGGATTTCTTGGCGTTCACAGTTTCGATCAATTTGTTGACCTTTGCTTTCAATTCGGCTGTAGTGTCCTTCGTTACCCTTTGGAATAAAGTTTGGTCAGAGAGTATGAGGTTCATTTTCGGCAGATATTTTTCTTTTTTAAGAATGAATTTTGGAGAAATGATTTTTTATTTACCATCATCAGTGAAAAGAAACATAAGAAAGATCGAGAAAATTTGTGTTAGAATTATTAATCTTACTTTTAGAATTATTAATCTATACTATATATATCGGTATATATATTATATATATATATATATATATATATATATATATATATATATATATATATATGTCGTACCTAGTAGCCAGAACGCACTTCTCAGCCTACTATGCAAGGCCCGATTTGCCTAATAAGCCAAGTTTTCCTGAATTAATATATTTTCTCTAATTTTTTTCTTATGAAATGATAAAGCTACCCATTTCATTACGTATGAGGTCAATTCTTTTTATTGGAGTTAAAATTAACTCCAATAAAAAAAATTGACCTCATACGTAATGAAATGGGTAGCTTTATCATTTCATAAGAAAAAAATTAGAGAAAATATATTAATTCAGGAAAACTTGGCTTATTAGGCAAATCGGGCCTTGCATAGTAGGCAGAGTACGACGTTCTGGCTACTAAGTACAACATATATATATATATATATATATTTTATGACATTATTAAGCGATGCTGTGGTCACAAGCTGAACAGCAGTGCTGTGCGCTCATGCTGCGAACGCCAGCCTTGGTTGCTCACTCACTACTGAGGCTCTCACACCCGGGAATGTGGACCGTGATTTTTTTTAAAGATAGCGTCTGTTTACAAGAGCCCTGAGGAAGCTGATGTGAACCCAATGTAGCCGTGGGAGTTTTGAATGGAACGTGAAAAATACAAATACCCGGAGGCGCGTTGCACACCTGAAGCCTGGGCCTGCAGGTGCGTTGTGCAGTTAAAGGGTTAAAGAATTCTGACAAAGAAAGGGATCTAGGGGTGGTTCTAGATAGAAAACTGTCACCTGAAGACCACATTAAGAACATTGTGCGAGGAGCCTATGCTACACTTTCTAACCTTAGAATTGCTTTTAAATACAAGGATGGAGAAATACTAAAGAAATGGTTCACGACTTTTATTAGACCAAAGCTAGAATATGCAGCGGTTGTATGGTGCCCATATCTTAAGAAACACATCAACAAATTGGAAAAGGTGCAAAGACATGCTTCTAAGTGGCTCCCAGAACTGAAGGACAAGAGCTACGAGGAGAGGTTAGAGGCATTAAATATGCAAAAACTAGAAGATATTAGAAAAAGAGGCGATATGATCACTACGTTCAAAATAGTAACAGGAATCGATAAATTTGATAGGGAAGAATTCCTGAGACCCGGAACTTCAAGAACAAGAGGTCATAGATTTAAACTAACGAAACAAAGCTGCCGGAGAAATATACGAAAATTCACTTTTGTAAACAGAGTGGTAGACGGTTGGAACAAGTTAAGTGAGAAGGTGGTGGAGGCCAAAACCGTCAGTAATTTCAAAGCGTTATATGACAGAGTGCTGGGGAGACGGGACACCACGAGCGTAGCTCTCATCCTGTAACTACACTTAGGTAATTATTACAAGCATAGCTCTTATGCTGCAACTACACTTAGGTAATTACCGTACAATTCTATAGTCACATCCAACATATTCTGATAAACAGGCTACATGAGGTAAACAAAATCTACAGGTATGTGGTCATTAACAATCCCAAGTTCTGCAACAGTGTGTATATATTCACACTTTCCTTGTCATAAAATTATTGTTATAATTTCTGGATATTATGCAGTATCTACTCAATTTAATGACCTATATGAGGTAGTACTCAGGTTGTTAAATCTGAGGCTTCACTATATCTGGACGCCTTAAAATGTCGGTAACTTTTTAGTCTTGAGTTATCTTGAGATTCTTGAGGTTATCTTGAGATGATTTCGTGGCTTAGTGTCCCCCACGGCCCAGTCCTCGACCAAGCCTCCACCCCCAGAAAGCAGCCCCTGACAGTTGACTAACTCCCAGGTACCTATTTACTACTAGGTAACAGGGGCATCAGGGTGAAAGAAACTCTGCCCGTTGTTTCTCACCGGCGTTCGGGATCGAACCCGGGACCACAGGATCATGTTTCCAGTGTTCTGACCGCTCAGCCACCGGCCACCGGCAGTCATATCTGGGAGGACAACTGGAAGAATGTGGGCTGGCTGGCTGGCGAGTGGACTGAGTGGATTAGTGGGCTGGATGGATCAATGGATAACTGACAGGTGTGTGTACTGGCTGGCAGATGGGCAGAGTGGGTAAGTGGATTGGTGGCAGACTGGCAGATTTGGGCAGAGTGGTGGGCAGGTAGAGGGATTGTTGGCCAACTGGCAAGCTGGCGGGTGGCCTTTGGATGGATGGATGGCTGACTGGTGGACAGGTGGGCTTGCAGGTAAGGGTGGATGGGAAGGGTAAATGGATTTGTGGCTGACAGATGGGCTTCAAGTGGGCTGGCAGGCAAGCTGGGTGGACAGTTGGGTAGGTAGGCTGGCAGGGTGGGCAGACAGGGTGGGCAGGCAGGGTCGGTGGGTAATGTGGATGAATGGATTGGTGGCTGACTGGTAGGCAAGCAGGATGGGCAGGCGGGCAAGCAGGCAAGGTGGGCAGATGGGCAAGGCAGGTAGGTGGGCAAGCAGGCAGGCTGGTAGGGTGGGTAGGCAAGCAGGCAGTGGATGAGTGCATAGGTGGATGGATGGATGGATGGATGGATGGATGGATGGATTGGTGGCTGAATGACAGGGTGGCCAAGCAGGGTGGCCAGGCAGGGTGGCCAGGCAGGGTGGCCAGGCCAGCTGGCAGGGTGGGCAGACACTGGATCCATTCCTCAGCTCCTCCATCCCCACTACATCCTATTACTCCCATTCCAACACCAAACCCTCCCAGATATATCCCCCACCCCTCCAGCAACGTCTACATGGTCCGTCTGTACAGGATTAATATTTTATGGTTTTGATTCTCAGCTACCTTCCCACCAACTAGTGGCCTGGGAGGCAGAATGCCCAAGTGCCTGACTCATATTGTTTACAAACTAGCAGTCTCCGTGGTGTAGTGGTAAGACACTCGCCTGGCGTTCCGCGAGCGCTATGTCATGGGTTCCTATCCTGGCCGGGGAGGATTTACTGGGCGCAATTCCTTAACTGTAGCCTCTGTTTAACGCAACAGTAAAATGTGTACTTGGATGAAAAAACGATTCTTCGCGGCAGGGGATCGTATTCCAGGGACCATAGGATTAAGGACTTGCCCGAAACGCTACGCGTACTAGTGGCTGTACAAGAATGTAACAACTCGTGTATATATCTTTAAAAAAAAAAAAAAAAAAAAAAAAACTGTGACTGGGTGCTACTATAACTGTGAATCCCTGATTGACTTTGACTGGGTATAATTGATTGTGACTTATGACGGTGAATGCCTCACTGACTTGAGATTGTGGCCTGTCTATCTATGACTTGTGACAATGCTTGACTGACTGACTTGACTGTGGCTATGACTGGTTGCAACTAACTGTGACTAGCTAAGACTGGATGCTACATAACAGGGGAAATCTGTAAAGGACAAAATGTAACTGCTGGCCTAGCAAGGGCAAGGTTGTCACAACACAATAGTGGCCTCCAGTTTAACGAGCACCGAACTCTGTAAACTCAATACTGAATTCTGGATTTAACGGTCAATGATTACGTAAATAAGACACCAGTTACCAATCTAAAATTTGATCGTTGTATCCGACAGAATGGTAAATCAGAGGTCCTTAAATTGAGTGGATAAAACTGAATATTTGTAAGTATCCAGCACAATGAGATCTCCTACTTACATCTCAAGTATCCATGGCCACCGCAAGCTTCTCGACACTCCTGTATGGCATCCCGGGCTGTCCAGCCAGAAATAGGCTTACCAGCTGATGACAATCCATGCACTTCCCGCCCATATAAAGCCTGACGACAAGGATTCTATGTTTAACACTCATGATGTAATAATCTTTGATAACATGATAACATGACAAATCAATTAAATCTGAGTCTACTGTAATATAATATGAAGTGATACAGCCTAGGGGAGAATCTGTATAAGAATTAATATCAGTTCTAACACTGTATAAAGGTTTTAGGGAGACCAAAAAACTTATATTTTTGCTCACATTCATATAACATACAATTCTAGGGATGTTAATAAATTATGTTGAGAGGTAGCAAAATTTATAGGATTTATAATAAAATAATAATAACAACATTAATAAGTAATGGTAATGTCTTCTCACAGACATAATAACATAATAACCCACACTTTTGTATTTGTGAAATTTATGTAAGGAATTTACACCAAATCTTTCACATTCTCCCGAGTGCTTTGTCCAGGTCTGAGTGTGTGATTAGGACAAGACTTACATCTCAACTTCTAAAGAATTAGACATTGAGATGTAAGTCTCCTCCTAATCACACACTCAGACCGTGACAAAGCACTAAGGAGAGTGTGAAAGATTTGGTGTAAATTCCTTACATAAATTTCACAAATACACAAGTGTGGGATTTTATCCTAAATAACAATAATAATAATTATAACAATTTATAAAAATACATGATAATATGCTTATAGGAAAATCTTAAGAATAATTTATTTTCTGCAGAAAAATATTTATGGATAATGCTATACACTAAGAGATGTAACTTAAATTTGTATTTTCATTTACATATGTTAAGACAATAAGCTAATGATACATAGACCAGAATAATGATATTGCTACTAATAGTAAAACCTGTTGGTTCTTTATTTGAGATTGCTATAGTGGTAATTACCAAGTTTAATAAAGCAAACAAAACCAGCCTTGAATGTAATGAAATGCCCCTCTCTGAGTAAGTCCGGTTGGCTCCTTTAAGCTCTCTCACTGAGGAAGCTCCTCATTACTCAGTCACGTCAGTCATAAGTATCCTGTTGGCCTACCATGGATCAGAGTCGGAAGCTGGCTCCTCATAGCAACCCATTCTCTCATATATTCTAAAAGCATTCCCAAACCGAAGGGGCGACAACAAAGCGAGGAGAAAAATGAAAAGAAAGAACTCGGTCCAAAGACCAAGAAGGCTCAGGCATAGCATGAGCAGGCCGGAGGTGAAAACACACAAGAAAGCTAGCGGAACGGAGTGGACGTAAAATCCACCCCGAATGCAAGCAGCAGTGGCTCAACCAACATCGCGCGATGTGAAGCGACAATTTTATCCATGAGATGCCAAATCCAGAAAAAGTCAAGAAAGGACAAAACAACCTGGTCTGAAATCGATGAAAACTGACGAAGAGAAAGAAAATAATGGAGAGACAGCTAAGAAGCTTCATACTATCGCTGAGAAGACGAACTCAGGTGGGACATCATCAAAGAAGCCACCTGATTCCTCATACAAATGGTGACACACACATGCATTAGAAAAACCAGACACGTAGTGCGGAGCAGTAGGGCAAACCAACGAGGTACCTCACTGGCCCGACCTGCGGAAAGAGGTGGAGCCACAGAAAAACACCCAGGTATGGACACAGAACAAGTAGTGCCTGAAACCAAGGCTGGGTCAGCCACCATGGAGCCAGGAGCCACTAGCCCCCAATATGAATCAAGCCGAGCCAAAACCCGGAGCAACAGCTGAACCGGGGACAAGAGGGACAGGAAACCCCACCTCAACCAGTCCTACCGAAAAGCATCTGCCGCAAGGGATTCAGAGTTGGAAAACGGCTCCATGTATACTGGGAGATGCTGAGACCATGCAGACACGAAGAGGTCCACCTTTCGGGTGTCTATACCTCCAACATTGCCAAAGGAAGGAGGCGGTGTCCACCATCCCCTCTGTGAAAAGAGGAATGAAGTACAACAGACCCTCTGCCAGGACATTGGACACACCCTGAATGTGAATGACGTGGAGAGCTAAACCACGAGAACTCAGCAGAAGAGCTACCCGAAACGACCTCTCTCAAAGCCACGGACAGAAGAGACGCCTCCCTCCCCGGTGAGACGATGAACCACGGAGAAGCAGTCCAAATGGAGCCGGATCATCAAGCCCCGATGAAGCCGGATGCGTCACCTGCCACACAGCTGCAAACTCCCACACCAAGCTGTGAGCTCGAAGGAAGGATGATGCCGAACACCTTTTGAGCGCCGGTCACAAAGCCCCGACCAAGAGACGAGAAGCCTGTGAACACACCAAGTGAGGGGAAGAGGAAGGTCCTATGGCACCAAATACCAAAAACCCTAAAGAGGAAGCTGAAGACACAGCAACCGACACAAGGACACTGGGGAATGAAACCAGCAAATGCGAGAGCGGAAAAAGAGGCCGTTCCGAAGAGGGTTGAGCAGAAGCGCAATCCCCACAAGCACAACTATAGCACAACAAGACGAATACAAACATTACCAAAACTACGGACGACACATCGGTAGGGATGAAGGAAGCACACACCAATTCATGTACCTCCCGACCCATTTCGTAGCAGACATACCCCCCACACCTGAAACATGTCACACGTAAGTGAACGACTGAGTAACAGGTAAGAACAATGGTACATTAACAAAATGTAAAACGCCCCCAAAACTGGGAAAGAAATAATAAACTTTCAGCCGCCAGGCCACCATATTCAAAGAGTGGATGTCAACAAACCACAGCTGTAGGATGGTACACCAAGATTAGTGTGCCGCCCTAGCGGCCAGTTGCGGCAACTCAATACACCACACTCAGAAACCCAAGGTTCACAATCTGAATAGCAAAATTCTTTCCAAAACTATAAACAACAAAACTGCTGATCTGAAAGGAGGGAAGAACAGGGAGTAGCAAAAGCACCAGAAAATAACATGCAATAAATGTATGATGAACTACATGAAAAATCATTATACAGGGATACCTCAGTTTGTGAATTTAATCCGTTCCTAGAGATGGTTCGTGACCTGAAAATTTGTAAACCGAAGCGAATTTCCCCATAAGAAATCATGGGAAATGAATTAATCCGTTCCAGGCTCCCAAAAAAATTAACTTCAAACTAAATTTTATACCAAATTCATCCAAATCTTCAGTACAAAAGAATGTACAAGTTATTACTTATCTTTACTGATGACTCCTGTTGGTGTATTTAAGATGGTGAGGAGGGGAGGGAGGAGGAGAGGTGTTACTGTTTGGAAGGGAAGTCCCCTTCCATTATAACATCAGGCAGTGATGACTTCTCTCGGGTACACTCTCTGGCACGTTTTGCCTGCATACCACTAGGACCTGCTTCGGTCTCACTGCTTGATTTTTCTCACTAGAAATTGTTCCATTGAAGAGTGTTTTTCCCTTCTTTGTAACACTTGTCTGTAGTGAGACATCGCATTGTCATTAGTAAGACCAATGCAATGGCCTGCTAAAGCTTTATCTGGGTGATTCTTTTCCTCAAAACTTTGCAGTTCTTTCCATACTACACACATTTTCTTAATTAATGAGGAACGGACATCCTCTACTGTCTCCTACACCTCCCCTGAAGATTTGTTGTACTGCCTAGCTAGTTCAACAACACGTATACCATTTTCACGTTTACAAATAATCTCTTATTTTTCCTCTATGGTCATTCTCACATGTGTTTTCTTGCCTTGAACCTTACCACTGGCTTTCTTGGGACCCATGGCGAGATACATAATAACAAATTTTATGTTCAAATAGCCAAAAATCCCCAAAAACTGTAAATTCTAGCAAAGAATTCAGGCTTGATAGTCACTAGGCGGGAAGCACTCGTAAACTGAGGCGCGATCGCCGTGCCACCACGTGCTAGGTCGGCCATACGTGTATCAACAAACCCATTTCCCAAGGTAAAGTTCGTAGCCCGATTTAAATTTTCCGAACAAATCGGGCTTTTAACTGGAAAAGTTCATAAAGAGGGGCATTTGTAAGCTGAGGTACCACTTTATTCATTTATACATGTATTCAGAGCCATCTTCCACGCCCAACACCCCTGAAGAAAATGCGGCGCCCAGGGGAAAAGCGTCCAAGAAGGAAGAAGAAGAAGAAGGGAGTCGGCTGGGTTGACCCTGAAACCTCGGTGGGAAAATTGGCCTCAAACACCTCCGCACCCGAATCAGATGGGACAGCCCCCGAAGCCACTTGAGCCTCATCCCATGCTAAACACTGCCCTGACTCTGAAACCCTCAGATGTTCGGGAGTCAGAAACAGGGGAGGGAAAACAAGTAGGGAGAACCACGCCCACCTGGAAAGGAAGCAGGGGGGCCCTGGAAGCAACCAAAGTCGAAGCGACCAAACCACCCTAAATCCTGATCCCTAAAACCAGAGTGGGGCAGCTCCAGCACCTCTAACCCGGTAACAAACCTGGCTTGTTGCAGGAAATAGAATCAAGCATGCAACACAGCCACTGCCTGATCCTTGAGATCAACAAACAAGGAAAGAGTAAAGTGAAGTACATGTGGGGGAACAAGGCCTGCAAGACTCCGGGTCGGTGGTATTTCCCGTGGTGTTCACTAATGAGCGAGAGTACTAGTTGCATGAAGTTTTGCTTGTTTTTTCCGAGGGAGTTATTTTGATCTTTTAGGATGTAGATTGCACGAGTTAACCAGACAATGTTCTGTTCTGATTCACCTATCTTTGATAGATAGGTGAAAATTGCCATCGACCAGGTCCTTCCCTGGTCGATGGCAAGATAACAAACTCTAAATGTAAAGTGCTCATAGGCCATTGCTCCCTGCACCTCTCTGAGAGGGGGCCAGGTTCTGGCTCGTGGTCCCTGGTAGGTATAAGGACTCCAGTGATTGATGACCCAAACAAATATACAGTGGTACCTCGAGTAACGAATTTAATCCCTTCCATGTTCGTCATGTGAAACGGACGTCATATAAAACGAGTGTCCCCCATGTAACCAGTGTGATGAACTGTGTTTATTGTGAAATTCCCCCAGTGTGCATGACATCAAATGTTCCCCAACAAACAAT